TCACTTAACGAATTCTACTAGACAACCTACTGTAACTAATCACGACTACTCTCTCTTACTTGTGCTGAACACTGGCACCTTTTATAAGTAAAACGTAGGTACGTTCAGGCTTGCTGACCATGAGAGTTACAAATGCTTTTCCGAGTGACTTAAACGAATTTCCTGTTGATAACCAAAGTGGAATAAACAAACCCATAAGAAAACCAATGAATGCGTGACAGCTAAACCCACGACACTCTACCTTAAACCAAAACAGGAACTCTGATGTAGGTAACAGTCAAGGTCAATAATGTTTCCAAATCGTACCCACTTAAAAACTGACAATCAAACTTAACTAAACCCCAAGCTTGATGACACTTCGGTCGACAAACCCATTAAAAAGATAATAAACCTCAAAAACCTGTTAACATATATACGGATTAACCTTGATCTTTAAACTTAATCATAACAAGACTCTAGTCACGAGTGAAACGTCAAGCACAAACACGATATAAACTTAAAATAACCTACAAAATACTTCACAACACAATTTTAAACTGTGTTTAACTAAACAGATTTTAAACATGTTTAAACTTTGATCTGAATAGGTTTAATTTAAACGACCTTAAACACACTTAATAGACAAGCGATTTCCACTCACCATGCTCTTTGTGCCCTTTGTGTTTTTTTCGGTCTACTCTTTTTTTTTTCTTTCTTGATCTCTTGCTTCTTTCTTTTTTGCGGTCAGTCTTGTATGTTGCCTTGTCTGTCTTAAGACTTTTATGTTTGTGCTTTCCCATTTCAACACCGTATATCGTGACAGAGGGCGACAAAATTGTCTGAAGACCTCTCTTAATCTCAGAAGTTCACGCACAAAATGGAGGGAATGCAAGAGCACATAAAGCGTGCATAAATAAACACGTGACTGACAAAATTGTTCCCAGGTCTCCCTCAGAGTCGTGTGGGCATTTCGTAAATGAAGGGTAACGCATGCTCTACAAGTCTCTGGATGTCCTGCATAGCAAGAAAATCGAGACAGTTGACAACAATTTGGATTCATATTGGGGACAAGATTGGCAACGCCACTGTTCGTTGTCGCTAATATTTGGCTCTGTTGTCACTGTCACAATTTGACCAGGAGAAGTTGTCTCTTGTCGCCATTTCATTTTAAGCTCTGTCGCTACTTTTTGGGCCATGTCGCTTGTCAGAATTTACCCTGGCAGGGCCTCATTAAAACCTCATAGTTGGTAAACATGAGCACCTTGCCACGTTCCTTTAAAGAGAAGTGGAGACGTCGTGGTCTCCTTCCAAAACCGACTTCACTAGATTGCGTGTGAAAGCACATGCAAGTGACCACGAATGAGCACGACTGACTACGAGTTAGAGTTCACCAAAACATGATTTTTCTATGAAAATGACATTATTATCACGTCACTATATCAAA